ATACCACTGCTGTCACTGACCCCCAAGAGTACGACCCCCATGACCCAGCCCGACAGGGCTCACCAGGGTGAATATCGGTCGAGGAAATCCTCGACAGGGGGGTCGTACCTGTCGGGCTGGGTCATGGGGGGTCGTACTCTTGGGGGTCAGTAACAGCAGTGGTATCGTGGTGCAGATAGGTAAGAGGGTATAGCGCAGCAGAAAATGAAAATATCTGAAAAAAACATGATATTAAATTTTCTTTGCAGGTTCAGTCGCTCCATTCCTCCACCTTCATGAGAAGGGCGTATTTGAAGGCAGTACAAAGAATGAAAGTGCATCCCGCAAGAAGACTGCCACATGTGCGCACGCGCTGCAAAGGCACCTCCTCTGCCTATCGCTCGCTCCTTCTCCCTTAATACCTCGCTGAGAATGACACTGTTGTTAGGGACCCTGTCGCAAAAACGACAACCGTGAAGGAAAAGCCCTGGGCAAATGAAGTTGTTCTTCAGGTTGTAGGAGTTACGAAATGCGTTTACTACAATGCAGCTTCTGTCAACTGGTCATGATCATATGACACCTTCGAATCGATTCTGCAACTTCGAGTGAGGTCGGATGCATGGCCTATACTCAGACAAAATTCGATGATGACGATTGCCCCTATTGCTTATGTTGGGAGGATGTTTTCTAGACCCATTTCAAGCGTTGCCAACAATTACACTTGCAATGGTGAAGGAGGGAGCGGATTTTCAGGTGGCCGGATCCGTCCTCGATACATACTCGACGCAGATATCTTCTCAACTAGGAAATGTAGAAGAAAGCTAAGAAGACCATCAGAAAGCGCAAACCTTCCGCTTTCCAAAACTATCTTCCCTTTTTCAGGATCTTACAAATTAGAGAGATATTGCTTTTGAAGTGGCAAAAACTCGCATGAAAATTTCAGCATCCTCGACGTTTACTCGACGAAATTTGAGAGACCCTATCTTTCTGCATGGAAGGCTTTCAGAGCAATTTCAATACTTCTTGGAAACGCGAAATCCAGCTCTATCTAACCCTACCTCAAACTGCTTCAAAGGTTATGAAATGGAGGAATGCAACCTTTTCATCGAGGGTGTAGATTTCGACGGTTTTTTTTTCGGGATGA